CAACCTGCCCTCATGTAAGGAGTATAAACAACAGTGGTTGTAGTCAGAGGTGTGTGTCTGCTTGATTGCTAGTACAGTTTATTCTTTCCATTCTATAAATCTTAGATGGGTCAAAGAGAGACTGACCCAGTGGGGCAGGAGAGGGAGATAAGCCTGGGCAGGGGGCAAGGAGACAGGCCATAAGAGCCCCTCAGTGCTAGGCAGAGGTGCTGGATGTTGTCCTGAGGGCACTGCGGAGCCATGGAGGGTTAGAGGCTGGATGAAGCCATGGACAGATGTGGTCATGTAGAGATGTGGTAGGAAGAGCCATCAAATGGCTACCTCTCCCTTGAATGGTCCTGAGAGCCTCACCTGGCCCTCATCTCTCTGTTTCCCTCTCACCTACAGGAGCAGGCATTTGAGTGGAGGGGTGGGGGCAGACATACCTGTTCTGCTAGGTGAGGTCTGCCTTGACCAGGCCACAGTGCTGCCAGTCCGGCTGAGTGAGCCACATTCTGCGTGTATGTGACCAGATGGAGCCAAGGAAGGCAGTGACAGATCTGGGCCAGAGGTGGAAGCCAGCCTCCCTGCCCTCCCAGAGGCCAGCTCAAGCCCCAGGCCCCAGCATTTGGGAAGGCCTGATCTGTTTTCACTACTCAGGTAAAATTCGAAAATGTTTAGCAGAATCATTCTTTCCTCAGTGCACATCTCATATCCCACAGTGACATTTTGATTAACATTTATTTATTGGTTTGGGAGGACAACAATAATCATCATAGAAAATTCGGAAAAACCAAAATGCCCAAGGAATGAAATAAAAATCCCCTGCACATATCTCCTCTTCCTTCATAACCAATGACAACCTTGGGGGACTTTGTTTTACAATTTTAATGCTAATGTGCACATATTTATATTTTTATCAGAAAAGTAATCATAGGGGCACTTGGGTGGCTCAGTCTGTTAAGCGTCTGCCTTCGGCTCAGGTCATGATCCCACGGTCCTGGGTTCGAGCCCCACATCGGGCTCCCTGCTCAGTGGAGAGTCTGCTTCTCCCTCTCCCTCTGCCCCTCCCCCTGCTTGTGCTCTCTCACTCTCTCTGTCAAATAAATAAATAAAATCTGAAAAAAAGAAAAGCAATCATACTTAGCATGCTCTTTTGTAATCTTTTTGCATTGAGTAATTTACCAAGTATTTTCCCATGACAAATACTCTTTTGCACTGTGATTTTTAAGGGAAAACCTGATTTTATGAATACCAATCTCCATTAATTCCACAAACACTCTTTAAAGACCCTCAGATAAAAAGTATCATTAACTCTAATGTACGCTGAGCCCTTGGGTTGAACATCCCTCAGCAAAAGCACGAAGCATATTCAAGTGTGACTTTACTGTTTAAAGTACAAGTATGGGAGTCACCTTGGTGAGTCAGCCTCTGTACATTAGGTATGGTGGAGCCCAGACATTTGCAATTGGAACTCACGCAGCCTCAGTGGATGGTATTTCTGCACTTGATTCTGATTACACAGAATTGAGAAAATTCCTGATTCACAATAAAAAGTTCTGTTAGTTTCTGAGCTCTTAGAATGAATGGGGTCCTATGCCCCAAGGTGGGAACTGTTAGAATCCCCATTTCACAGAGGGGCACACTAAGGCTCAGAGAGAGTAGTGGGGCTTGTGAGAAGCTGGTGAGGCCTCTTTGCCTCCTTCAGAGACTCTGAGTCACAGACGAGGTCACTGTGAACTTGCTCATGAGGACACACCTGAATGTAAAAGCAGATTAGGCCAGGGGCACCTGGGTGGCTCAGTTGGTTAAGCTACTGCCTTCAGCTCAGGTCATGATCCTGGAGTCCCAGGATCGAGTCCCACGTCGGGCTCCCTGCTCAGCAGGGAGTCTGCTTCTCCCTCTGACCCTCCCCCATCTCATGCTCTCTCTCCCTCTCTCTCTCATTCTTTCTCTCAAATAAATAAATAAGATCTTAAAAAAAATAAAAGATTAGGCCAGAATCCCCCCTTTCCTTGACACGTTTACAAGGCAGTCAAATACGTGCACAGGATCAGGGAGATTTTCATTCCAGAGCCTGCAGGAAAGCCAGTTAAGTCAGTTAACTGGGAGCAGCTCTTGTGTGTTAAAATTGGTGTGTAGGGGCGCCTGACTGGCGCAGTCCGTTAAGGTGTCCGACTCCTGATTTCGGCTCAAGTCATGATCTCAGGGTGGTGGGATCAAGCCCCGAGTCGGGCTCTTTGCTCAGCACAAGTCTGCTTGTCCCTCTCCCTCTGCTCCTCCCCCTGCTCACTCGTGCTCTCTCCCTCTCAAATAAATAAATAAAATCTTTTAAAGAATAAAAATAAATAAATAAATAATGGTGTGTATCACATCTACATGATGTTTTAAAATTCTGGCTTGCAGAGTAAACTATATGTTGTTCAGTACTTTAGAAACCACTTTTCTTGTTTTTGAAAAATAATAGATAATCTTTATACAAAATTTTTCAAACATAAAGATACATATGGAGTCCTTCATGGGGAATATATATATATATGATTTTTATAAAAATGCGATCAGTTACGTATCCCGTTCTGCTCCTTGCCTTGTTTACTTAACAACAGATCAAGATGATCTTTTTTTTTTTAAAGGAAAGGTTTTTATTTATTTTTATTATTTTTTAAAAAGATTTATTTATTTGACAGAGAGAGATAGCGAGAGAAGGAACACAAGCAGGGGGAGTGGGAGAGGGAGAAGCAGGCTTCCCGCAGGGTCCCCCCAGGACCCTGGGATCATGACCTGAGCCGAAGGCAGACGCTTAACGACTGAGCCACCCAGGCGCCCTCCATTTCTAAATTTTTATAATCTTTAAGCAGAAGGGTTATGAATGATTTTGGTGTTTTTTTTTAAGTATTCTTTTTTTTCCCATTTCCATTTTTTAAAACATTATTCTAAAAACATTGGCCCATTTCTTTAAAAAGAAAAGACCAGCCCTGAAAATGTATCTACAGGAATAAAAGTACTGCATGTGGTTTGCAAGTTTTTCTACTCTGCATCTCTTGGGAGATTTCTCCATGTTAGAACAGTACTTTTTACTACTGTGTGGTATTCTAGACTACAGACATAGCATAGCTAACTTAACTGGTCCCCTACAGAGGCTCATTTGGGTCACTGTAATGAATATCCTTATATATACTTTTCAATTATTTATACCATTATGACATCTTTTTGTATTGGCTCACATAGTTCTATCTTCTTCTTCAACAGCCACAGGGAATCCAGGCCAGGGATAGAACATGAGCTGTACAACCCACTCCCTGCTGAGGGATGTTTCCAATTCTTCATCCTAACAAAAAACCTCTTTGACCATTACAGATTTTTAAAAGTATATTTTAAGGGACCCTTGGGTGACTCAGTCGGTTAAGTGCCTGCCTTTGGCTCAGGTCATGATCCCACGGTCTTGGGATGGAGCCCTACGTCGGGCTCCCTGCTCAGCGGGGAGCCTGCTTCTCCCTCTCGTCCCCACTCGTGCTCTCTCTATCTCTGTCTCTCTCTCTCTCAAATAAATAAATAAAATCTTTAAAAAAATAAACAAAAGTATATTTTTAAAAAGCTGAAATCTGGCACCTGGGTGGCTCAGTCGTTAAGCGTCTGCCTTCGGCTCGGGTCATGATCCCAGGTCCTGGGATCGAGCCCCGCATCGGGCTCCCTGCTCAGCGGGAAGCCTGCTTCTCTCGCTCTCCCACTCCCCCTGCTTGTGTTCCCTCTCTCGCTGTGTCTCTCTCTGTCAAATAAATAAATAAATCTTAAAAAAAAAAAAATTAAAAAAAAAAAAAGCTGAAATCTAAATTCAGCTTTTGCAGACCATCTGCAGACCAGTGGAGTAAATGGGGACCCTGAGAAACGTCATTTGGTGGGAAAGGAAGCCAGGCCCTCTTGGCAGGGCCTAATTGCTATAAAATGGACGGAGGTTGGCCTGCTTGAGGGAGGACAACAGTGAGGATGAGATTCCTAGAGTGCTTGCTGTCATGCATCCCTTAGAGAACTTGCTGGAAGCTACAGCCCCTAGGAGGAGGTTATCTGCCACCTGTACCAGCCCAACTGTACTCTAATTTTCCTTTGATGGATCACCCCCACTTCCCAACACCATCCTTAGCAGTGGTAATAATTCAGGTACCCTCCTTTCCCCACCAAAGGATGGGCCTAGAGTCTAAACTAAAGATAGTGAGATTGAATCCTCGACCTTGGCTCAAGCTGTTGGGAGAGAGGCCTCTCTTGCTGCTCCGTGGCTTAGCTATCAAGACGCAAGTCTGGTGTTGCCAGGGGAATCCTGCCTGAGAAGGAAGCAGGTTTCCTGGAAACTTAGATGGAACTCCCAGATCTAGACGTGCCTGAAGCCAGCAATATTGACTCAGTTACATGAGCCAAGAATTCCATGTTATGTTTCAGTCAGTGCCAGTTGGGTTTCTGCCACTTCCATTCTTGTTCATTTGCCTTTGCCCCAGAAGAAAACAAATTGATTCATTCAACCAGTATTTATTGAATATCGATGCTCCTCCCTCTGCTGGGTGATGCTGGGGACAATAAAGTGACCATGACAGAGTTTGTCCCTCCCCTCATGGCAATCTCTGTCAACCAGAGAATAAACAATCACAAACTACTTAGCAAAAATGGCAGCACTTGCCATGAAGGAGGTGCTCGGGGAGCTACAACAGAGGCATTGGTGATTTGGGTAGTGGGATCCGGGAAGGGTCCCCTGAGAAAAGGACTTTAAGTTGACACTGAAAGATGCGCCAGGAATCAGCAGAGTGAAATGAGGTCAAGGGCTAAGGGTCCCTGTACACATGTCCAAGGGTTTCAGGGCACCCCCAAGTCTCAGCAGGGCTCAGAAAGTTGGTAAAAGAGAGAAGGAAGAGGTAAAAGAGAGGAAGGAGGGAAGGTTGAGGGAGGTGGGAAGGGGAGAGGTGAGGCAGCCATCCAGACCACAGCCGGAGGAAACAGGAACGGGAGAAGGAGGAGGAGGCCGAGGCGTGCACGTGGCCTTCCCTCCTTGTTCCTCACAACGTGGTGTAGAAATACATGGCTATCAGCATCACAGGGAGCTGGATGAGGAGGCAGTCAGGTGAGGGGCGCTCCAGCCCCACACCCACATCCCCCCCTCGCCCATAGGCTTCCCGCCTCTCACCGTCCACATCAGGATGGCAAACCCAAACCACGAGATACCCCACGTGTAGCTGTCGATGGCATGGCCGATGTGCTCGAAGCAGCCCTGGGTGGGGGGGAAATGGGGGTTTGAGGAAATGCCCAGTAGGGCTAGCACTGAGGGAGAGTCACTGCGTGCCCTTTGGAAGGTCACTTCCTTTCCCTCAGCCACGCAATGGGGATTGTGGCAGTGTCTACCCCCAGAATGGTTTTTGGGGAGCCAGGGGTGTGATGTTGAACCCAGGCCCCACGCAAGTAGGTACTACCCTGGCGGTGGCTATGACAGTCTGAGGGCAATTTTGTGCAGAGCTGGCTTTCCATGCTGCCCACAAGTTCCAAGGGTTTGAAATCTGCCTTTAGGTGCGGTGCAGTTTTGATACGTCCCCATTTAGGAAGGAGGCCAAGTGGGGCCTGAGCCTCACAACAGAGTCGCCTTCAGGTAGACCCCTGCCTCGACTTGGAAGCACCCACAAACTAAGGTTGAGGGTGCGCGTCCTGGAGTCAGGCAGGACTGAGTTGGGGGCCATCTCTGCCATTTGTTCGCTGTTAGGGCCTGGGAATGATTCTGGCTCTCTGAGCCTCAGTTTGCCCATCTGTGAGGTGACAATCTTGACAGCACTGGCCTCTGAAAGTGGTCGTGGGGAGTCCACGAAATGACGCATGTGTGCACTCTGCCCGGAGCTGGGCTTCAGAAATGGCCGTCGGGCTCTGATAGCCGTCGTGGTCGGTGCAGGTCCCCTCTCCGTGACACCTGATCTAAGACGTGTGGCTGAAGGGCCCCTAGGCAGCCGAAAGCAGCCAGAGGGACTGTTGGAACTGGTTTTCCTCCCAGTCTAACCTCCTCTGGTTTCTCTCTCTGCCTCTGCACTCACTGGTTAAAGCTCCTGAAATCCAGTCCCAGCTCCATCGCTCACTAGACAGTGAACTCAGTTTCATCATCCTTAAAATGGGCTCATTAATCATATTGCACCTCACAGGCCGTGGTGGGAATTAAATAAGACAAAGACTTAAAGCCCTTAGAAGAGTGCCGGGCACCACGTAAGGGCTCAATGCACGTGGTTACTATGGTTGTGGTGCTACCGCTGTGATTCCTGTTGCTCTTCTTCCCAGACGACCTGAGAAAAGTGGCAGGTGCCAGCTCAGACCCTGGGCCTCCCACTGACTTGCGGAGGGAGCAGGGACAGGTGGCAAGAGAGTTGAGAGAGCCGGAGAGACGGGAGAGAAAGAAAAAAGCCAGAGAGGGGAGGAGGAGAAGAAAGTGGGAGGCAGGACGAGACAGAAGGACCAGGGGGGCCAGACCGATGCACAGACAGGGGAGCGGCAGGGAGGGGACACACCTTGGTGAACAGGTAGTCTGTGTGGCCCAGGCGGCAGCCTTCTGCACTGAGGGGGATGAAGTTGCCAGTCCGCCGACAGCACAGTGGGGGCCAGGGGAACACCACCTCCGGGGTGGCTGCCCGGAAGGCTGATGTGAAGTTCACCCAGTCCATGGGCCCGGATGTGCCACAGCACTCTTGCTGGAGAGAAGGGGCGGAGGGGGGCGGGGATCAGGCAGGCTCTGGCTCAGAGAGGACAGCCACTCGCCTGAGGTCCCAGAGTGAGGAAGGGGCCGACTTCCCATGTCCTGGGCCTCGAAGTGGGGGGCGGGCAGTGTCTGTGCGTGTGAACAGGGAGCAGAAGATATTTGTCCCAGCACCAAGAGGCTGATGGGGGGTTTGAGTCAAACCCACACTTGTGACTCATTTTAAAATTCTTTTGAATTAGCTGTCAACAAAATCTGAGGTAAATGACGCCAAAAAAAGGATTTCTGGCTTTTTTCTGGCCCCTGTGGGTGTACAATTAGTGGCCCTGAATGATGAAAACATCGGCTCCTTCACATATGAGTTCCAATCCTGGCTAGTGGTATGACTTGAAACCAATTGGGACCTCACTTCCCCTTGGGTCCTCAATATTCTTCTCTTCTGCCATATCACGTTGGGTTTAATTAAGAATGTGGCTTCTGGGGCGCCGGGGTGGTGCAGTCAGTTGGGCGTCTGACTCTTGGTTTCTGTTCCGGTCATGATGGGTGGTGATCTCGGGGTCGTGGGGTCGGGCCCCATGTTGGGCTCCACACTTGGCACGGAGTCTGCTTGAGACTCTCTCTCCCTCTCCCTCTGCCCTTCCCCACCCCCTGTGCACGTGCATGTTCTCTCTCTCTTTCACTCAAATAAATAAGTGAATCTTAAAAAAAATAATAATAATAATGTGGCTTCTGGAAGCTGGTGGCCTGGGTTTGAATCCTTCTGGTTCTGTGACCTACCAGCTGTGTGACTTTATGTAAGCCACTCAAACTCTTACCTTGGTTTCTTGATGGCTAAAAAGCTGATCTCCCTTATGGGGTGGTTGTAAGGATTAAATAAGCTTTAAAAGTGCTTCCAACAGTACTAAACAAAAGTTAGTGCTCATTAAATGTTCATTATTATGATTAAGAAGGTATCTGTAATGGTTAAGAGCAGGGTCTCTGGATCCAGGCTGTCAGACTTTGATCCCAGCTTACCAACCATGTGACATTGGGCAAGTGATGTTCCCTTTTCCGTTTTCTGGGCCTGTCTACTCATCTGGAAAATGGCCATGACCAGCCCCACCCCCCAGAAGAACCACAGGAGTGGGTATCATCTACCAGTGGGCATAATGGGAGGCCCCTATCTACTTCTGTGGTCAGAGCCCCAGGTCCTCCAGCCCTCCCTACCCCCTCACCACCTCATCTCCTCATCCCCCCGCCCCGTTGTCTACCTCAATCATGACACGGTCCCAGAGGCGAGTCAGTTCCTGGCCCTGGTCTGTGTCTGCACTGTAGAAGGTCAGCATCTGCTTGGTAATCAGGGATGGGTTGGACACCATCTGCGGAGGTCCAGGAAGAACAGGGTCCAGTGGGGCCGTGGGGGAGGGGAGGTCAACCTCCACTCCATCCCCAGACTCAGACCCAGACCCTTGCCACTCTTGCCCCAAGTCATGCCCCTCCCCTGGCCTCTGCCCAGCTCACATAGTCGCGATGAGTGTAGGACGTGATGCAAGAGGCGCACTCAAAGATGTAGATGATGAGCATGAGCACCAGGTACTGGGGAGAGATGGAGGGAGAGACAGGGACCGCCCAGTCAGGGAGAAGCCTGCGGGGTCACACCCCCTCAAGGAAGGGTAGGACAATGTAAATGGTAGCATCTATGTGGTGGGTGTACACATTGTTCCCTGTTCAAGTCTTTCACCTTTTCTGTATGTTTGAAATTTTTTTATAACAAAATGTTAGGGAAAAAATGAAATCAACAAAATATGTAAAGTATTGCCTGAAATTACTATTGGTCTGGACGCAGTAAAATAAATAACTACTATAGGGGGAAAAAAAAAAAAGACATTCTTGAGACAACCAGAGACATTTGAACACAGACTAGGTACTGCAACATAGACATGAAGGAACTTGGGTGAATTTTGTAGGGCTTAACGGTGGCATGGTTGTTATGCATAAAAACAACAAAAAAGCTCTTTCCTCGCCCCTCACCCTCTCCCTTAAAGCAACAGGGGGTGGAATGTGGATACGCCAACACCTCTGCCAAAAGATAAGATGATGGAGCACAACATGCCCCACTGCTCTCAACAATGTCCTTATCACTCAGAGAAATGTGCACTCAAGTATCTATAGGTAAATGACTGGGTGTCTGGAATGCACTTCAAACACCCCAGAAAGAACAATGTGGGTAGGCAGAAGGGTGGAGCCGAGGGGACCAAGCTGGCCAGGCTGTGCTGTGGTCGATATTGTTGAAACCAAGTGACAGGTACGCAGGGTTCATGCCATTCACTCCACTCTATGTTTGAAATTTCCCATAATAATTTTTTTTTAATTCTGTGTCTTAGTTAATGACAAACTAATAGGGGAGACAGACACAGACACAAACCTTTTTTTTTTTTAACTAGTTGGCTGAGCTTTTAGGGCTTTGGTTAAACTGTTATGTCAGAGAATTACATGCAGGAAAGAAAGCAAAAGAGAAGGAAAAGACCCTTCCTAAGGCTCCATCTTACTCACAGTAAAGCCAAAGTCCTTATCAAGGCTGGCAAGACTTGACTGATAGGCCCACCTACCCTTTCCTGCCCTCATCCTCCATGCCCACCGCCCATGGTACCCCCCTTCTCTCCGCCCTCATTGCCTCTCCCTCATCCCCACTTGGCTCTTGGCTCTTGGCTCTTGGCTCCGGCCACACTGGACTCCCGGCTCCCTCTTGCTGTTCCCTCCCCCAGGAATGCTCTTCCTGCAGACACAAGGCACACTCCCTCACCTCCCCCAGGCCTCCCCTCCCACTTCCCCAGCTCCAAATCTCCCTTCCCTCCTCACTGTCCACTGTCGCCCCCATTGGGGGTATCCTCGCCTTAGGGCAAGGGCTTTTCTGTTTTCTCTCTAGATAGCCCCAGTGCCTAGTGCGGGATTTGGCCCATGGTTCTTGCTCCATCAACATTTGTTGATTAAATAAGCAGCTGCTCCCGGGTATCTAAGAGGCCCTCAACTATGGAGGACGCACAATGTTGGCTCTATGTCGGGGGACCGGGATCAGAACTCCTGCCTTCCCTATCACCTGGGCTGTTGGCTTCTTTGAGACCCAGTTTTCCTGTCTGGTAAATGGGCAGAGAAGCACTAATTCCAGAGAGCTGCTGGGGACATTGAGAGAGCTCATTTTCTGAACTGCTGAGCCTAGTGCCAGGCACATGAGCGGTCCTTGGGAAGCGTGGGTTCTTGCTGTGGTGGTTATCACTGGCAGAAATGAAGAGCAAGGGGGTGCTTGGGTGGCTCAGCCGTTAGGCCTCTGCCTTCGGCTCGGGTCATGGTCCCGGGGTCCTGGGATCGAGCCCCACACTGGGCTCCCTGCTCCGCGGGAAGCCTGCTTCTCCCTCTCCCACTCCCCCTGCTTGTGTTCCTGCTCTTGCTAACTCTCTCTCTGTCAAATAAATAAATAAAATCTTAAAAAAAAAAAAAAAAAGAAAAGAAAAAGAAATGAAGAGCAAGGCTCAAGCTGAACTGCTCAGGCTTAAATCTTGACTCCCGTCACCCACTCGCTGTGCAACCCCAGGTGACTTCACTTCGCTGAGCCTGTTTCAACTCTGTCAAATGGGCTCACCATGATGACGGTATCTCCTGGTGGGCTGTGAGAGTAAATGCACCCATGCATGTAAAGCATTTAGAATGTAATGAGCACTCCTGAAATGGCAGCTGTACTATTATTATTGTTGTTGTTGTTGTTTTGACAGAGCTCATGTGCACAGACTCTGGGGACCAACTAGCTGAGGTTCGCGACTCAGTCCTGCCACTCAAGAGCCGTCCTCCAGGGCAGAGCGCCCTTCCCTTCCTCTCTGTGCCCCAGTTTTCTCTGTAGACTGAGGGTAACAGCTGAGCCTGCCTTACTGGGTTATGGGAAGATGAAATAGAGTGACTGCCACGAGGCCCGAGTGTGGCACACGCTGGACACACACTCGCAGCTGTGCCGGCCGTGCTTGCAGTGACTCTGCGGTGACCATCTCTGTGCCCGCCCAGCCCCATGCCCTCCTCCTAGGGCCTCACCGTGAGGATCATGGACCGGCGGCGGCACAGTGCTGCGCCCACCCCAAAGCTGGCCACCACGAAGAAGGAGAAGCCGCAGAAGATGGCGATCCAGGCACCGGCGAAGACATCATCCTTGCCGGAGACGCCCATCAGTGGGTACACACGGTACTGGTCGGCTGTCACCCACACCGTCTCGGCAAACAGGGCCAGGCCCGACAGCTGGGCAGGGCAGCAGGTTAGAGAGGGCACAGCAGCCAGGGCCGCGGGACTCTCCCTGAGCAAGTTCCCCTCCTGAGCCTCCGCCGCCCTCTGTAAGGTGGGCACGTCCGAGGGACAAGGACGTCACCTTCCATGAGCAGGGACGGGGCTGGGCAGCGGCCAGAAGGGAAGGGCTGCCCAGCTAGATCCCTGCCCCCACCCACGGCCCAGCTGCCCGACACTTCAAGGATACCAGGAGATGCCACATGAGAAGCCCAGAGCGCATGACTGGAACAGAGGAGACGCTCCCTCGGTCACCCTGCCTTCCCTCAAACAGTGTTGTTATTCCCGAGCGGAGGAGTCTGGCCAGGGCCAGAGCAACTACAAATGCATCAACCCTTTGATCCAGCGATGCTGCTTGCAGAAATCAATCCTACCCATGCAGGAAAATCACAAACCCACAAGGTCATTCTCCGCACCTCCGTGTCAAAGGCACCACCATGCCGCACAAGGCAGTGCTCTGCAGGGGTGGAAAAGGGCGGGGAGGCTCTCTGAGGACTCACATGGAGTGGCCTCCAGACTATGGGAGCGGGAGAAACAGAGGAGCACAGAACAGGATGCAGAATGAGCTACATTTGGGACAAAAAGGGAAGAAAATAGGTTCCTATTTGTATGTGCTTAAAGAAATGTTGGAGAAACTAAAAATCTAGGTACCTATAGGGATGAGAGATGGGGAGCAGGGAGAGGGGAAGGCTTCTCAGTGGATACCTTTGACCCCAATCAAGCTAACCCTCATAGGGCACATAGTGTGTGCGCGCCCCGCATTAGTCCTAGTAACAGCTTTCTGTGTGATGATCCTTGTTACCCGCTGCAGGGCACTATTCCTGCTAAGGCCAATACAGACAGTAACCACACGTGCCAGACTCTGGTCTGAGCCCATGAATCCAATAACTCATCCTCTCGGCATTCCTATTTTCTCTCCACCTACAGATGAGAAAACCGAGGCCCAGAGAGGTTACGTTGCTGGCCCCAGGTCCCACAGTAGAAAGAGGCAGCGTTGGGGTTTGAACCCAGGCTGTCTGGCTCCAGAGCCATGTACAGGTATCATATTTTAAAAAATTAACTATTAATGAAATACTATGGTTAGTATTCATCATTATGGGAGTCCTGGGCCCTCGTCCCCACCCCCAGGCCTGGGCTGTCCCCTCCTCCCCACCCACCCACTGGGCTCCCAGCACCGGGGGAGGTCTCACCAGAATAATGATGTTGCCCACCACCAGCAGGCCCACCACAACCGGAGACCCTTTCTCCGCCTCTGTTGCTGCAGATGCCATGGTCCTGCCTGGGACACGTGAGCAGGAATGAGGCCAGGCAGAGGCCAGGATGGGAGGGCAGCCCCAGCCAGGCCCACCACCCTCCCTCCACACCCCAGCTGCCAGTGGATGCTCCCAGCTCTCTGCTGGGCCCAGACTGGTACTGAACGAAACCTCCCACAACCCTAATGGGCCATCTTACAGAAGAGGGAACCAAGGCTCAGGCAGGGCAGTTACTGGCCAGAGCTCAGTGCTGGGCTCCCTGCACCTCAGAGCTTCCCAGTTTCCCCTGCTCATCCAGACCCCCCGGAGCCCCTCCTCACCTTCTCTTTCCGAAGCCTCTGTGGCCAGGCCTTCCCACGGTGGCTCCCTATATATGCCCAGGCCCCTCCTTGGGCCAGTCTCCAGGAAGGGGGAAGGGTGTCTGGAGGAGGAGATAAGAGGTCAAGCAGGCCGACCAGCATGGAAGAAGAGTTTTATGAGCACCAACCACCCCCAACCCCAGTGATTTATAGACCTGAAATTCAAGATTGTGCTAATGTCTGGCTGCATGAGCAGGGTGATGTGCCCAAGGCTTCCGGCTCCCAGGCTGCCGCGGTGGTGGAGGAGGAGGCTGGGGTTGGGAGGGTGAGTGTACCACTTCATCTCTCTCCTTTGGACGTGGGCCTTCCTGGGAGCAGGGGAGAGATCCAAGTTGGATCCACATGTGAATCCTGAATCCCAGAACTGCGTCCTGTGCTGGCGGCTCCACATCTCAGGCTGGGAGCCCAGGGGGAGGTCCAGACAGAGACCCCAGCGGGCTAGGTCAGAGCTGGACCTAGACAAGGAGGTGGGGAGGAGATGAAGGGGCAGGAGGAAGGGCAGCTCAGAAGGCTGATTATATGGCCATAGGCTGAGGGGAGACAGTGGCTTGAGATGGGTGGGTGAGGGGAGTTCCAGATGAGTGTATAAGGGGGGGATGAAGAGAGTGTGCTAGAAAAAAGAGAGAGGGCACACGGAATGGCCTTAGTGGGAGAAAAGTACCCCCCCACACACCCATGCACACAGACAAAGCAGGGCCACAGTGAGGAGCCATAGGTGGAAATGTCTTCAGGCTGCAGAATCAGAGACCAAGGTTGAAATCCCAGTTCTGCCTCCTCTGGGCTGCGTAACTTGGTATGTATGTTTGCCCATCTGTAGAATGGGTATCATCGGCCGACTCGCCCCAGTAGCAGTGGGAACTGAGCGCAGGGATATGTGCAAAGGATGTCCTCTGGCTTGGAGTACAGCAAGAGGCCAGGCGGCACCAGCAATGCTCCCAGGGGCCCACTTTTCCTCCGATGGTGCCCCCTAGTGTCACAAGGCTGGTTCCTCAGGTGAAAATGGCTTGGGGCACCCGGTCCTTCCCCAGAACTTCTCAAGAACCAAGGCACTGACTGTGTTTTCTCTCTGAGCTGTAGCTCCCTTGGTGCATGTGAAATGGGCAAACAAATGGAACTTAAAATTTCAGTGTTAAGACAATGGCTTGGTAATAAAACACATGAGATGTGTTCCGATTAAAATTAAAATGAGTAATTTTTTAGCCAATCCACTTTAGATTTAAGATAGTTTTTCTCTGTTGATTTACATTTATATTAAGGAGTAATAAGAACATTTAAGTAATAACGTACATGACCTGTCAAGTACATTTTATGAGCTTTAGCTAAAATAACTTGGTAATAATAGGGCCATGCTAACAATATGAAATACTTTTATTTTCAAATAGTTGGTAACTGTTAGTAGTTGGAAGTTATATAAAATGTCTCAGCCTTTTGGCAAGATCAAGTGTAAAATGCCTGGTAAAAGCAAAAAGTTATCATCAATGGGGCATTACTGTCACCAGTCATAAAAGGGGTCCATTTTGTTCTAGTGTGATGTCAAAGCCTTTTTAAAAAAAATTTTAAATAGATTTTACTTATTTGAGAGAGACAGAGAGAGAGAGGGAGAGCACTGAGGGAGAGGGAGAAGCAGGCTTCCCGCTGAGCAGGGAGCCTGATGTGGGGCTCGATCCCAGGACCCTGGGATCATGACCTGAGCCGAAGGCAGATGCTTAACGACTGAGCCACCCAGGTACCCTGTTCTAGTGTGATATCAAACATTAATTTTCACTATTCTTTCTTCTCATTATATAAGCCAGTCTTCAAACAATACATGTTGAAGTGCTAATTACTTCCTTTAAAAAAATCACAATGCTGGGGTGCCTGGGTGGCTCAGTCAGTTAGGTGTCCGACTTTTGATTTTGTCTCAGGTCATGATCTTGGGGTCGTGGGATCGAGCCCCCCACCCACCTGTGTGTGCTCTTTCTCTCTAAAAAAATTTTTTTTTAAAAAGTCACAATGCCAAGATCTCCTAAAGAGGACTCTTGCCTATCCACGATTATCCTGTGATCCAGTCATTTGTCCCTGGGAATCCCCCCATTTCTGTCTACCAAATGCTCTGAATGTATTCATATTAGTCCCAAGCTGGAAACCACCCAAATGCTCCTTCCCAGTAGAATGGGTAAGTACATTATGGTACATGCATACAAGGGATACTATTCAGCAATAAAAGGCAATGAACTATTGGTACTTGCAACTACAGGGATGAATTAAACAAAACAAAACAAAACAAAAGCATTACATTAAATGAAAAAAGCCACATTCAAAAGACTGTAAATGTATGATTCTAGATATGAAGTTTGAAAACAGGCAAAACCAATCTAGGGGGATAAAAGTCAGGGCAGTGGTTACCCTTGGGGGCATTGTGACTAGAAGGGACAGGGAGGGGATTTCTCTTTCCTGGTTTGGACACTGGTTACATGGGCTGCTCAGATTGTGAAAATTTGTCTAGCTGTACAGATACGGTAAGTGCATTTCTCTGTGAATATGTATATATTCTTAATTACAATGTGTTCTAAAGAGGGTGAAACCTTTTCAAAGAGACGTATTTGATGTGTCAAAGGGGTGTTTTCCAAAGGGTGCACAAGAGCTGATTTTAGGCTGTTTATGGACTTGAAATGGTATGAACCTACGTAACTGATATCTAATGGGAAAATGATCTAGTTCTAATCCTCTAATCTCGATGGTGCCATTGAGAAAGGCTCAGTGGTCTGATGCTGTGTCCTAAACATCTCTCTCACCTTGCTTAGAGCAGGTCTCGGCAGCCTCAGTGTGTGAGTAGAATTGAATAATATATTTTCATTGTATTTATTTTCAAGACAAGACCAGAGACAACTTTATTACTACATTTGGGTCTCATCATCCTCCACAACCTTTGCACTGTCTTCTTCTTCAGATCTCAGGTGTCACTGCTTGAGTTAATTCCATACCCTCAGATCATTATTCCCCACAAGATATCTCTTGTTTTAAATTTAACTTATTCCCTTATATCCCCATATCTCAATCACTTTTGGTGCCCTCTACTGGTAAACACTCTAATATGTCCGCATGTATCTTTTTTTTTTATTATGTTATGTTAATCATCATACAATACATCATTAGTTTTTGTCGTTGTTGTTGTTAAAGATTTTATTTATTTATTTGATAGAGAGACACAGCGAGAGAGGGAACACAAGCAGGGGGAGTGGGAGAGGGAGAAGCAGGCTTCCCACGGAGCGGGGAACCTGATGCAGGGCTCGATCCCAGGACCCTGGGATAGTGACCAGAGCCAAAGGCAGACGCTTAACGACTGAGCCACCCAGGCGCTCCTACATCATTAGTTTTTGATGTAGTATTCCATGATTCATTGTTTGTGTATAACACCCAGTGCTCCATGCAGAACGTGCCCTCTTTAATACCCATCACCAGGCTAACCCATCCCCCCACCCCCCTCCCCTCTAGAATTATCAGATTGTTTTTCAGAGTCCATAGTCTCTCATGGTTCGTCTACCCCTCCGATTTCCCCCCCTTCATTCTTCCCCTCCTGCTATCTTCTTCTTTTTCTTTTTTAACATATAATGTATTATTTGTTTCAGAGGTACAGGTCTGTGAGTCAACAGTCTTACACAATTCACAGAGCTCACCATAGCACATACCCTCCCCAATGCCTATCACCCAGCCACCCCATCCCTCCCACCCCCCACCACTCCAGCAATCCTCAGTTTGTTTCCTAAGATTAAGAATTCCTCATATCAGTGAGGTCATATGATACATGTCTTTCTCTGATTGACTTATTTCACTCAGCATAATACCCTCCAGTTCCATCCACATCGTTGCAAATGGCAAGATTTCATTCCTTTTCATGGCTGCATAATATTCCATTGTATATATATATACCACATCTTCTTTATCCATTCATCTGTTGATGGGCATCTTGGCTTTTTCCACAGTTTGGCTATTGTGGACATTGCTGCTATAAACATCAGGGTGCATATACCCCTTCGGATCCCTACATTTGTATCTTTGGGGTAAATACCCAGTAGTGTAATTGCTGGATCATATGGTAGCTCTATTTTCAACTTTCTAAGGAACCTCCATACTGTTTTCCAGAGTGGCTGCACCAGCTTGCATTCCCACCAACAGCGTAGGAGGTCTCCCCTTTCTCCACATCCCCACCAACATCTGTCATTTCCTGACTTGTTAATTTTAGCCATTCTGACTGGTGTGAGGTGATATCTCATTGAGGTTTTGATTTGAATTTCCCTGATGCCGAGCGATGTTGAGCACTTTTTCATGTGTCTGTTGGCCATTTGGATGTCTTCTTTGGAAAAATGTCTGTTCAGGTCTTCTGCCCATTTCTTGATTGGATCATTTGTTCTTTGGGTGTTGAGTTTAAGAAGTTCTTTATAGATTTTGGATACTAGCCCTTTATCTTATATGTCATTTGCAAGTATCTTCTCCCATTCTGTCAGTTGTCTTTTGGTTTTGTTGACTGTTTCTTTTGCTGTGCAAAAGCTTTTTATCTTAAGTCCCAATAATTCATTTTTGCCCTTGCTTCCCTTGCCTTTGGTGATGTTTCTAGGAAGAGGTTGCTGCAGCTGAGGTCGAAGAGGTTGCTGCCTGTGTTCTCCTTTAGGATTTTGATGGACTCCTGTCTCTCATTTAGGTCTTTCAACCATTTTGAGTCTATTTTTGTGTGTGGTGTAAGGAAATGGTCCAGTTTCATTCTTCTGCATGTGGCTGTCCAATTTTCCCAATACCATTTGTTGAAAAGACTGTCTTTTTTCCATTGGACATTCTTTCCTGCTTTGTCAAAGATTAGTTGACCATAGAGTTGAGGGTCCATTTCTGGGCTCTCTATTCTGTTCCATTGATCTATGGGTCTGTTTTTGTGCCAGTACCATACTGTCTTGATGATGACAGCTTTGTAATAGAGCTTGAAGTCCAGAATTGTGATGCCACCAGCTTTGCTTTTCTTTTTCAACATTCCTCTGGCTATTCGGGGTCTTTTCTGGTTCCATACAAATTTTAGGATTATTTGTTCCATTTCTTTGAAAAAAGTGGATGGTATTTTGATAGGGATTGCATTGAATGTGTAGATTGCTCTAGGTAGCATTGATGACTTCACAATATTTGTTCTTACAATCCATGAACATGGAACGTTTTTCCATTTCTTTGTGTCTTCCTCAATTTCTTTCATGAGTATTCTATAGTTTTCTGAGTACAGATTCTTTGCCTCTTTGGTTAGATCTATTCCTAGGTATCTTATGGTTTTGGGTGCAATTGTAAATGGGATGGACTCCTTAATTTCTCTTCCTTCTGTCTTGTTGTTGGTGTATAGGAATGCCACTGATTTCTGTGCATTGATTTTATATTCTGCCACTTCACTGAATTCTTGTATGAGTTCTAGCAGTTTTGAGGTGGAGTCTTTTAGGTTTTCCACATAAAGTATCATATCATCTGAAAAGAATGAGAGTTTGACTCCTTCTTTGCCAATTTGGATGCCTTTTATTTCTTTTTGGTGTCTGATTGCTGTGGCTAGGACTTCTAATACTATGTTGAATAGCAGTGGCGATAGTGGACATCCCTGCCGTGTTCCTGACCTTAGAGGGAAAGCTCTCAGTTTTTCCCCATTGAGAATGATATTCGCTGTGGGTTTTTCATAGATGGCTTTTATGATACTGAGGTATGTACCCTCTATCCCTATACTCTGAAGAGTTTTGATCAAGAAAGGATGCTGTACTTTGTCAAATGCTTTTTCTGCATCTATTGAGAGGATCATATGGTTCTGGTTCTTTCTTTGACTAATGTATTGTATCACATTGATTGATTTGCGGATGTTGAACCAACCTTGCAGCCTAGGGATAAATCCCACTTGGTCGTGGTGAATAATCCTTTTAATGTACTGTTGGATCCTATTGGCTAGTATTTTGGTGAGAATTTTTGCATCCATGTTCATCAAGGATATTGGTCTGTAATTCTCCTTTTTGGTGGGGTCTTTGTCTGGCTTGGGGATCAAGGTAATGGTGGCCTCATAAAACGAGTTTGGAAGCTTTCCTTCCATTTCTATTTTTGGAACAGTTTCAGAAGAATAGGTATTAATTCTTTTTTAAATGTTGTAGAATTCCCCTGGGAAGCCATCTGGCCCTGGGCTTTTTTTTGTTGGGAGATTTTTGATGACTGCTTCAATTTCCTTAGTGGTTATAGGTCTGTTCAGGTTTTCTATTTCTTCCTGGTTCAGTTTTGGTAGTTGATACATCTCTAGGAATGCATCCATTTCCTCCAGATTATCTAATTTGCTGGCATATAGTTGCTCATAATATGTTCTTATAATTCTTTGTATTTCTTTGGTGTTGGTTGTGATCTCTCCTCTTTCATTCATGATTTTATTTATTTGGGTCCTTTCTCTTTTCTTTTTGATAAGTCTGGCCAGGGGTTTATCAATCTTGTTAATTCTTTCAAAGAACCAGCTCCTAGTTTCGTTCTGTTCTACTGTTCTTTTGGTTTCTATTTCATTGATTTCTGCTCTGATCTTTATTATTTCTCTTCTCCTGCTGGGTTTAGGCTTTATGTGCTGTTCTTTCTCCAGCTCCTTTAGGTATAGGGTTAGGTTGTGTATTTGAGACCCTTCTTGTTTCTTGAGAAAGGCTTGTATTGCTATATACTTTCCTCTTAGGACTGCCTTTGCTGCATCCCAAAGATTTTGAACAGTTGTGTTTTCATTTTCATTGGTTTCCATGAATTTTTTAAATTCTTTAATTTCCTGGTTGACCCATTCATTCTTTAGTAGGATGCTCTTTAGCCTCCATGTATTTGAGTTCTTTCTGACTTTCCTCTTGTGACTGAGTTCTAGTTTCAAAGCATTGTGGTCTGAAAATATGCAGGGAATGATCCTAATCTTTTGGTACTGGTTGAGACCTGATTTGTGAGCTAGGATGTGATCTATTCTGGAGAATGTTCCATGGGCACTAGAGAAGAATATGTATTCTGTTGCTTTGGGATGGAATGTTCTGAATATATCTGTGAAGTCCATTTGGTCCAGTGTGTCATTTAAAGTCTTTATTTCCTTGTTGATCTTTTGCTTAGATGATCTGTCCATTTCAGTGAGGGGGGTGTTAAAGTCCCCCACTATTATTGTATTGTTGTTGATGTGTTTCTTTGCTTTTGTTATTAATTGCCTTATATAATTGGCTGCTCCCATGTTAGGGGCATAGATATTTACAATTGTTAGATCTTTTTGTTGGATAGACCCTTTAGGATATAGTGTCCTTCCTCATCTCTTATTACAGTCTTTGGTTTAAAATCTAATTTGTCTGATATAAGAATTGCCACCCCAGCTTTCTTTTGGTGTCCATTAGCATGGTAAATAGTTTTCCACCCCCCTCACTTTCAATCTGGGGGTGTCTTTGGGTCTAAAATGAGTCTCTTGCAGACAGCATATTGATGGGTCTTGTTTTTTTATCCAGTCTGATAGCCTGTGTCTTTTGCATTTAGCCCATTTACCCTCAGGGTAACTATTGAAAGGTATGAATTTAGTGCCATTGTATTGCCAGTAAGGTGACTGTTACTGTATATTGTCTGTGTTCCTTTCTGGTCTATGTTGCTTTTAGGCTCTCTCTTTGCTTAGAGGACCCCTTTCAATATTTCTTGTAGGGCTGGTTTTGTGTTTGCAGATTCCTTTAGTTTTTGTTTGTCCTGGAAGCTTTTTATCTCTCCTTCTATTTTCAATGACAGCCTAGCTGGATATAGTATTCTTGGCTGCATATTTTTCTCATTTAGTGCTCTGAATATATCCTGCCAGTCCTTTCTGGCCTGCCAGGTCTCTGTGGATAGGTCTGTTGCCAATCTAATGTTTCCTACCATTGTAGGTTACAGATCTCTTCTCCTGAGCTGCTTTCAGGATTTTCTCTTTGTCTCTGAGACTCGTAAGTTTTACTATTAGATGTTGGGGTTTTGACCTATTTTTATTGATTTTGAGGGGGTTTCTCTGTGCTTCCTGAATTTTGATGCCTGTTTCCTTCCCCAAATTGGGGAAGTTCTCTGCTATAATTTGCTCCAATATACCTTCTGCTCCCCTCTCTTTCTTCTTCTTCTGGGATCCCAATTATTCTAATGTTTCGTCTTATGGTATCGCTTATCTCTAGAATTCTGCCCTCATGATCCAGTAGTTGTTTATCTCTCTTTTTCTCAGCTTCTTTATTTTCCATCATTTGGTCTTCTATATCACTAATTCTCTCTTCTGCCTCATTTATCCTAGCAGTTAGAGCCTCCATTTTGGATTGCACCTCATTAATAGCCTTTTTTATTTTGACTTGGTTAGATTTTAGTTCTTTTATTTCTCCAGAAAGGGTTTCTCTAATAACTTCCATGCTTTTTTCAAGCCCAGCTAGTTATCTTTAAAATCATCATTCTGAAC